AAATGTTTCTATTTCCCTATTGAGGCTTATTAAAAATGAGATTAATACCCTGTAAGATCAGTTACCTTAATTGGCCAAGAAAATTCTTCAGGTGCCTAGAAGTCCCTGCAACACATACAAAACAAAGGTCAATAAAGATCACTGTGAAGAGCTCTCTCATTTGCCCTGTTAAATTGGTAATCAGACTAATAGTACCATAACTAATAAAACAGGGTACAGATACAAACTACTGCATCTTTCCTATAAAACTGTGATTAAGAATTCTACCTCTTATGTCTTTGCTGTACTGTGCTCAGATTCCTTAAACACTGAACTTGTTAATTATCTTTTACAGTAATACATTTTTGTCACTGACTTTATAACTGATTCACTAACCTCTTAGCATATACGTAATGTATTTGAAAAACAAAAAATTTAGGAAGTTTTATTTTTTGTAGATAGTGAAAATGTTTAAGACATATGTTATCTGTATTGATTAAAATAAGTAAAATTCATTTAAAAAGGATATCTTTAATACTTTAAAAGCTGATCTACATATTTTTAAGTCATACTAAAATGAAGCTGTTCATCACTTAAGAGCTGATTTGTCATGGGCCTAGAGTTCTGATTTGTATTTGGATCATTAATGATGTGCTGTTCTTTTAAGTGTGGACATGTAGAAAGTAGTGTTTGAAAATAGCAGTGAAATAAGTTACAGATTTAAATTTAAGTATATTGACCATTCTTGAACATTATGGCTTAAAACTGACAGCAACCAAGTAGTTTTAAAAGATATTCATCACATAATGAATGGTGTTTCAGCTGGTGTGTAATATACAGTGTTACTTGTTCATACATCTTAAATGAACAAGACTATATAGGTAACGACTGAAGTAAAAAAGCATATATAATAAAAATTACTGAGAGAAATCATACCAATTATTGTAAATTTTTTTCTATCCTAAAGTCTTCTTTGATTGCTGTACTCTGCAATTCTGAAGAATCCATGAATTATATCGTACTACTTTGTGTTAAGAGTTTATATATATTCATCTGTTGTATAGACATTCACTGTACCTAAAAGTTCCTCAAAATACAAAATATATCAGTTCTGAAGTTTAGATGGCTAAACAAGGTACTAGGAAATTTGTTCCACTCTTCTACTGCAGGAATTGATTCTTTAACTTTTGGAATATGGCTCAGTAATCATAATTTGTATCAAGGGTGGGGAGATAGCTCTGTGATCTAAATGCCTACCTGGCAAGCACAAGGTCTCAAGTCAGTTATCTTTGGACATTTGTTAGCTAGGACACACACACACACACAAGCAAATGATGAGTAATATTAAGTAGTAGTGGTGGAGATCAAATCGAAGGCCTTGAACATGCTATGTTAAGTGTTCTGTCATCAAGCTACACTCCCAGGCTAGAATAACCTACTGATACATGCAATGCTTTAGATGGACTTCAAAGAAATTATACTTAATGATAAAAGCCAATCTCAAAAGTTTACATGCTTTAAGGTAATTAGGTGACATGCTTGCAATAAAACAATAGATTCTAATAGTTGCCAAGGTTAGGGATGGAAAACACAGATTAGTGGATGGCTCCAGTTTATGACAAACCTTTCAGAAGCCCAAATGTCTGAAAACAATGCACAAACACAAAGATACATAAGGATTTCTACCAGTTTTTATAAGTGGGCTGTCTATGTGGTATACAAGGAGTCTTCTTGAAGAATAGTTTTGTATCTTGACAGTGGTTGTACAGATCTCACGTGACAAATGTGTCATACACAAATTGTTCAGTGGATATAAAATTAGTGAATTCTGAATAAATTCTGGATTATAACAAGATCAATTTTTCTGACTTGTACTGCACTATGTAAAACTGTTAAGGATACCACATCTCCCTGTACTTTTTTAAAATTGTAGATTATTCCCATTAACCTATGGCTATTTTAGAATAAAAATACAAAACAAACAATTCATGTAGCAGTATTTTATGGTTAAATTGACATGCTATTTTGATATATACATATTTCTGAATGAGCAAAATGATAGTTTGGGTCTGTAATTTCCCTTAAGTCTCCTGTGTTAAAAACTTGATCGTCAGCTCCTGGTACATTTGGAAGTGGTGGAAGCTTTAGGAGGTAGGGCCTAGAGCTGAGTGAGGAGTGGTGCGTGGCTATAATCCTAGCACTTAGGAGGCTGAAACAGGAAGACTGGTGTGAATTCAAGGCCAGCCTGGGCTACACAGAAAGATACTGTCTCAAAAAAAAAAAGAAAGAAAGAAAGAAAAAATTGGGAGTGGAAGAAGAGCTGTACCCTTGTTGAGTTTTTTACAGTATGCCTCTGACATTCCACATTCATTTTTTCAAAGGTTTTTTCACATTATTAGGTATAGTTCTACCCACAATGCCACCTCTCAGTACTAGTTTTCTACTCACAATGCCACCTCTCAGTTACTAGTTTTCTACCCACAATGCCACCTCTCAGTACTAGTTTTTTGGGTTAGCATTCTGCTACTACAAAAAACTTGTGATGATCAACTTGGAATAAACAGAAAAGTTTTACTCTGGCTCATGGTCTTGGTCCATTGCTTTGTGTGAGACAGCATATCATGGCAGGAGCACATAGCAGAGCAAAAACATTCAACTCATGGCCAGGAAGCAAAGACAGAAGGAGAAAGGGTCTGGGGTCCTGTCATCTCCTTTCAGGGTACACCCATCAAATAACCTGAAGACTTCCCAGCAGATCCTACTCTGAAAGTTTTCACCAGTAGCACCATGGGCTGAGGACCAAATCATGGGCTATTCATGCCAGAGCCAGATTAGTGCAGCATCTGAAACACTAACTTGAAAAATAGTTCAAACCATTTTCAGAACTAAAGCATACAAAACAATTTTGCAATAATACTTTAGTGGGCTGATTTATGTTTCCTCCCAACAATTAAAAAACCATTCAATACTGGTCAGTATAACCCTGAGGCTGGGGAGTTTCCTGATGTAATTTGGTCCCCAGATGAGATCACCTAAGATTTAAAGTGGACCCCCAATCAAATGAATATTGTCCTCCCTATGAGAGAAATTTGAAATAGAAGGCTTGTAAAAACAGACATTGGCGGGGATACGTTTATGGTCAAGGACTGATTGTTGGCTACAACCAGAAAATAAAAGGACAGACAATAGAACAGATTTTTAGAAGCTTCACAGAAAAACAATTTCCATCACCTTGATTTTAGACTTCAGGTCTGCAGAACTATGTCAAGTAAATGGCTGTCATTTTATGCCACCAAG